GAGTTGAAACATTAACCACTAAATTAGTTAAGTTGTTAATTTGTTTAGAAAAAATAAAATAATTTAATTAATTCAATATAAAAAATAAAAAAATTATTTAGTTTCGGTTCTTATTCGATTCTTTGGTTCTTGGTTTAGATCCGAAACCCGACTCAAACTCATCGGTTCTTGATTCAGGTACTCATTCGGGTGTTTAATTTACGAAGAACCGCTCGATTCGGTTCGGGTTCGATTCGATTCGATTCGATCCGATTCGATTCGGTCCGGTCCGGTTCGGGACTTTTGGACATCCCTAATTTAGAGCCATCTAAACTGGGGTTATAACCCCAGTGGAGTCAATTTAAATGGCGTTAATGTAACATTAAATTATAGATAAAATTAAATAAGTCATTGACGCAATTAGGAGGAGTAGAGGTTCTGAGCATTCCAATGTGAGGGTTTGTTTGTGTATCGTAAAAAAAAATATTAATATCGATTGATTGGTGTACAATTATATATGAAGGGAAATTTTAGAGATGGCAGCGGGGTGGGTGCGCAGCTTGACCCATTGTTTTTTTTTTNGATTGATTGGTGTACAATTATATATGATGGGAAATTTTAGAGATGGCAGCGGGGTGGGTGCGCAGGTTGACCCATTGTTTTTTTTTTCCAAAAATTTTCAGTTAAAATACAAATTCAAAATTTTAAAATCCAAAGCAAAATAATGCTCAAACTAACTACATCAATATTCAAAACAATCACTCGAAACAAACAATGTCTAAAATTAAACATTTGTAGTTAATTAAAAAAAAAATTTCTTTTATTCTTCACGGTGCGGGTTTGGGGAGACCCGAGACGGGGCGGCAATCCCTGCCCAGCCAACCAGTCAGGATGAATTTTTTTGCCATCACTAGGAAATCTTTTCTATACTTCATAATAATATTGATTGATTGTCACGTGTAATTTTTATTCAATTTATCGGGTTAGATACACAAAGCATACTGCTAGTCTATACTAGGTTGATCAATCTAAGGTTAGATATGCTAGCAAACCTTGGCATTGATATTGACATTTAACAACCATACTGTACAAAAGCTACGCAAATAAATATATAAATATGCGTCGGCAGAGTACTCATAATAATTGATGATAATTTATTTGTAAAAGATTTGTTCTCTCTCTGTAACGTAATTCTCTTCGTAGTTCAATTTTTAACAATTTAAAATTCATTTACTTACCTATCGTTTAGGATGAATTGGGTCAATAGTTTTTGAGAGAAGAACTTCAAATTTTATGTCAACTTGTTGGACTATTGGTGTGGTGTTGTGTCAAAACGAACTATAACATGTTGGAGCCCCGATTTATCTTGGTTTTTGAATTGGAATCGCGAGTGAAGCTGGTGATTTTCCAGACTCGTAATAGGGAGGATCCTGGAAAGGCTTTGAAAGATTGGGATCAGTGGCCTGTGGGGGCCCTTCTTCGTTGTTTTCCTCGGCCTCGCTCTTTCCTGGTCTGCCTCCGTTAATAAGGTATGCCAGGTAGTATGATTAACATTTGATGGCAATGTTAGACCCTGTTGTCTGAATTCTTATTTTGCATTGACAGTACATTTGAGGCATTATTAATTTGAACCAAAATCTCAAATATATACCACAAAATGTTAAGAAAAAGAAGCCCTCTGCTTTGAAATGCATCTTCCATTCCATGTCTATTGCT